GATGCTAGCTCGTCCTAAACTTTCTGGATTCAATCAAAGTTTGGCTCATCACGATACCTCCTGGTCTCTCTTCTGTCATACAGCCTCGGTTGATAATGTTTTTACAATGGTGTTCACCCTGTACAAGTCCCGAGAGCCACTTGAGGTAGAGAGTTAAAAAGTAAGAAGCACAGTTGTGGGTATGTGGGAAAGATAACGGTTAAGAGTGTATCGATATGGAAAACATCCTCTTGGGTGTCGGTTTAACATGTAGGTGGCTCATGGAAAGATGCTGCTCAAGTGGAATTGCATCTCACCAAAGAAAGTGAACGAGTATAGCATGGGCATCAACGAGGGCAAAAATGTGAGTCCCATCCATAAAGATCAGGACTGGTGTAACTAAGGAGTCTAGTTCATGTGAATACTCTCCATGGAAATAGCGACAGAAAAGAATGGGGAGCCATGGACCTCTCGGCCAACGGACAATTCGCCAACAAGTTTATCACCTATGACCCTTTAGACGACAATGTTTCTGATAAAAGTTGATGACTTGGTGCCAACAACCTATCTGCGAATTCCTAATCCTAGAGATGTTTTTTATTCTTCTAATAATCTTTATGATTTAAGGAATCTAATATATGAAAAAATAACGAATGCATAATTACTTATTCTTGTCTTATAGCTTCCCCTGATTAGCGTCTCTTTGCTGATTAAATAATTTCCATATTCATCTTCAAAAAAGGATATTATTAAAACTGATAGTGTTTTGTGAATCATTTCCAATCGGGTCTTTTATATTCTTTATAAACGAACGACTAATTTTTAAAACCAACATTTCGTTAAACTGGTTAAGATTTGGCAGACAGGAAAGTGTTTTCATTAAAAGATAAATGCAATGAGATTGAAGATAATTAAAATCGAAAGAGAATTCGATAAGTAACAAGACGAAATGTTAATTCCACAAAAGAATATATAAAACAGCTTCGATAAGACTTTAGAGAAAAAATCTTAAATGGTTAATCTTTCATGAGAATTTACTTAAGAAACTTTAAAACAAAGTGTGCGTAAAAAAATTGAGATAAAATTTTGTGGAATACGTCTTTGTTCGTATCACTGAAATATAAGAAATTATAAAAAAAAAATGTTCCAAAAATTGAAATTAGGATATTTTATTAAAAGAAAAAACAAAAAAACTTTGCTTTTACAATAAAAAAAATATTTATTAGTTCTATATTCAAACAAAAAGGGGATTATAAGCAATTTTTAATTAAATGAGCGCCATATATTTCCAAAAATGATAATTTTACCAAATTCTGAGCGTCGTTTTTGATACTGATTTTGTATTTTGCAAAAGCTTCAACATTTTGGTAAATTTATTTTATTATTATAGTTCGACCTTTCGATGTAAGTCTTGAGTATGGCGATAAACTACAACTGGCAGCACGTAGTTAACGATTAATTACTATTTTTCCTAGGCTCACCCAGACGCCTCGTGGTAGGAACTGTTAGTGTTCCAGTTATAGGGAACACCCAAACGACAGCAAAACCCAATGAAAGTATAAAAATAAATTTTTATAGTCAAAATCCCAACTATACATTTTTCTATAAAAAAATGACCAACAATATGTATTTATAGGAAAATGACCAACATTACAATTTTTTTGTAGTTGAGGGCAAACAATTGTGTTCCAAATAATTAGATTCCGATAATAAAAAAACCCATAGAGGTTGATATGCCGCTAAACAAAATCAACCTATCAAACCAATCAAAATATTTAGATTTCGGCATTAAATAACCCATAGATGTTGATATGCCGTTAAACAAAATCAACCAACCAAATCAATCAAAATATTTAGATTTCGGCATTAAATAACCCATAGAGGTTGATATGTTGAAAAACAAAATCAATCAACCAAAACAATCAAAATATTTAGATTTTGGCATTAAATAAGCCATAGAGGATGATATGCCGCTAAACAAAATCAATCAAGCAAACCAATCAAAATATTTAGATTTCGGCATTACGTAACCCATAGAGGTTGATATGTAGCTAAACAAAATCACCCAACTAAACCAATCAAAATACTTAGATTTCGGCCCAATCAAACCAATCAAAATATTTAGATTTCGACATTAAATAACCCATAGAGGTTGATATGCTGAAAAACAAAATCAACCAACCAAAAAAAAAAAAAAAAAAAAAAGAAATCAGAACGAAATTACTCTTCAATGACATTAATCCATATAATATCCTAGAATTTCTTAAATCAAACTGTATTCTAAAATATAACTCCAAGGAAACTACAACATACACCAGACCTAACTGATTCTAGTAATTATGTCTACACAAATATGTATATGCACAAATCTGAGTATTGTCTACCATGTATTCAATTGTGAAAGCAGAATGACATATTTTTAATACTTCAAATCTCGCAAGAAATTTTTGACATTAAATCACCTATAAGGAGTTGATAGGTCGTTAAACAAAACGAAACAAAACCTTCGATGTTGAAAATACGTTGAACAGAAAGAAACAACTGAAATTTGGGCGACACATAATAAGGAAAGAAGGTGTAGGAATATAACACTCACATGAATGCATATTAAAAGCAAGAGCATCAAAGAAATGTAACGAGTAACCTGCTTGACAGTTAGAAGAAACAAATGAAAGAGTAAGTTCCACAGAGATATTTGGGGGTCAAAAAAAGAAGCAAGTATTACTGGAGCCAAACAAAAGAGGATGTTGTGGAGGACTATTACCATCTTTGTCTTGAAAAGTGCCATCACAAAAAAAGAAAGCGAAAAAGAGAGAAAAGCGAGTAATATTGTTTCAGTTGTCTGAATTTCTTGCTTTCTATCGTTTTCAGTATGAAATTCTGTGATGAGGTGTTGTCATTATTTACATTACTTACATTGTGACATTGTTAGTGTCAACTGATTGCCTTCTGGCTGAATTTCTGGGATGAGGTGTTATCATTATTTACATCACTGACACGCAGATTAATGTCTTCATTGGTATTATAACATTTGTGCCATCAGATATATCCCAATTCGGGTTATCCTACAGGGAATTCTGAATAATCCTTTATTTAATATACAGAGATAGATTGTTCTCGTCTCACTGCCCGTGACTAGGGATATCTCGTCTTGTTCTTATATTTAGTATTGCCCAGACAAATGCAAACTGCCCGACCCAGGGATTGCCATCGTAATTGTGTGTGTGTGTGTGTGTGTATACAGTGACACACATTCTGTTATAACTCTAGTTTATGTCCGCCATTTTGCCTGATATTTGGTAAATAATATCTCGTAAAGTTGTTTTAGTTGTATGTGGAAGGAAAATTAAAAACTCATGGAGGCACGGTGGGGTAATGGATATCGGCTTGGATTGTGAAATCGCAGAGCCGTGTTCGAATCCAGGTTGAATCCATTGCATTCACTTACGTACTAATACCCTTGGGAAAAGGTATTCTTATTCTTCCCTCCAGGCTATGGGTTAAATAGCAGGACAGACTGGGTTCTATAGCCTTGGATGGCAACTGGTCTAGGAGAAGGAAAACTCTGAATTGTTTGGGGACCTTGTGGCACGCAGTGCACCAGGTCTCTGAATTCGGCCCTTCAAAAAGTGTGGATGGTCCTGCACGAAACCTTCACCACTATAATCGAATCTCATGTGTCGGTGTCGGGTTGTCAGTTTTCTAGAGACTGATCTGCTTAACCCTCATACGTCGAACCCGACAGGAGAATCGATTTTTTTTATATATATATAGATGCAATCCATTACTATCATAAATCCACCTCCAGGCGGTCTTCTGACGAGTCGTTTGCCATCCTGACCCAGACTCCTCGTTCTGTAACACAAGGTTTTGGTACATTGTAGAATAACTCTACAAAACTTAGTAACCTTGAGTCTGCTCGGTTCCATTTTGTCCGAAAGAGTTACAAAAAAAAAAGTATTAACTTGACCCTAGGACGAGTTATATTTCTTTGTATTATTAGCCATATTAGTATTATTAATTTTCGTTTGAATTGCGCATGCGTTTGACGTTATTGGCATTGATTCGTTCTTCTACGGAGATGAAAAACAGCACCAAACCTATTTTTCAACGTGTGAATACACATTCCTATTCAAAGATAGACGCCAAAAATACCCAGTTCAATGGGCATAATGTTGCAGATATCAGAATGTTCACTTTGGTCCAATTTCTTATTGCTTGGAATACTGATATTCAGAAAGTAGGAATTTCGGGACAGAAGAAGTGCATTTTCTTATTAAAAAAAAAACAAAAAGAAAAAAAAACGGCTTGATTAAAACCCTAATCTGGCGACTTGGATTTCCCACCGCCGTAAAGTTGCTTCCCTGTGCCTTTTCTAAAATACTTTCATGGTAATCGTTCGGATGAGCTCATTGTATGGTACCCACCCTTTTTGTTTTTTTTAAATTTAAACGCAGTTCTAGACTGACGTCGAATTCTCAGCAATTTACAGTTTAGCTGGCTAGATCTAACTGTAAATTCTATGAACACTTTCTTTTCTCGCACTTCTCGCTTGTGGAACTACTTCCGGGTTCCAAGATTTCCATCTAACTTTAACCTGCAAAAATTTAAATGCAATGTCAATCTCTATCTGCTGTCCTCCTGATTACTCTTTCCTCTTCAGTTCCTAATTCTTCCACACCCTGTAACACCCTTGTGTCTTAGTGGCTTTATTACCTTTCATGGGGTGATAGCGATTTAAAAAAAATAATAATTGTAAATGATGCCACAAATATGTTGTGTCTGTGTACCTTCCAAAGGTTAAAAGATGATATATTTAGAGTTTTACTTTGTTCACGGTTGGCAATTAACTTCTGAGTTGATATTTACGATAAATGCATCTATTTACTTTTTAAAATTAAGAATATCTTTAAAATTAAGATACCTTATATGTCAACTGAAATAAATTATAACACTGTTAGATAGTTAAAAACAGACCGAGATAGATAGATATGAACCCACTGAGCTAGCTAGCTAGCTAGCTAGATTGATAGTGAGATTGATAGATAGATAGATAGATAGATAGATATGAACACACTGAGATAGATAGATAGATATGGCAGACTAAGATACATAGATATGAACACACTGAGACATATAGATAGTGAGATTGAGAAATAGATATGAACACAGAAATAGATAGATAGATAGATAGATAGATAGATAGATAGATAGATAGATAGATAGAGAGATAGATTGAGAGGAACAGGCTGAGAATGATCGATAGATAGACTGACAGATTTGACAGACTGAGATGCATACATGTGAACACACTGAGATATATAGATAGTGAGATTGATAAATAGATATGAACACAGACAAACAGATAGATAGATAGATAGATAGATAGATAGATAGATAGATAGATAGATAGATAGATAGGAACAGGCTGAGAATGATAGCTAGCTAACTAGCTAGCTAGATAGATAGATAGATAGACTGACAGATATGATAGATAGATAGATAGATAGATAGATTTGAACCTACTTAGATAGATAGATAGATAGATAGATAGATAGATAGATAGATAGATGCGAAGAGTCTGGGATAGATAAATCTAAATAGACGTCGATAAATATGTAGGTTATGTTTAGATTGAAATAGACGACCACAGAAAGAAATATAGATATATCGATGTATACCTATATAAAGAAACAAAAGTTATTGTAGACAAGGAGGTAGAAAGTCTTGAATAGATTCTCACAAGAATAAAAAATTATTCAAATTAATTAACTTTCACAATAGTTTTGTAAAGTCAAAAGATGTTATCGCGCAAATGATCACCGGAGAAAAATGATGAGTCAGCATCTACGAAAGTGTTGCCATTTGCTCTTCAGTTGTTCCCTCATGTTAATTGCAAGTCCTTACTGCCAATATAAATTAATCGAGCGTTAGGAATTTAACAAAGTTTGAGTTATGACGGAAAGGAGAATCAGCAAATATACAAAACCCAAGAAGTGAAAATAAATAAATAAATAAATAAAAAGAAGGGAGAGAACTCCTGAAATTTATGAAAAACAATATGCGAAACGGAGAATGCTGGAAGCTTACGAAAAACCCGAATGGAAGTCAGCGTAAGACGTGAACAAGCAAACGAAAACATTGCTGAGTTAATTGCTGATATGGATCAAAATGCTAAAGAAAATCGCGGGAAAGTTTACAACTTCGCAAAATAATGAAACCAACATAATAAACAACAAATGTCCTCAGATAAGCAAGATTGAAAAGAAAAGGGAAAACGCCAAGTTTAGCATAACCATAACGACTGAAAAACCGCCACGAAATATTAATTTTCCTAGCGTAGCTCATATCTGGCACAAGGCCGAAAGTAGGGGACACCCAGTGAGGATCGAACTCACTATTCACTCGTAATTTGCATGGAGTATTGCTGCCATATATGGTCTAGAACCCTTCTGTTTGCCTCAGGGTTCTTGATAGGCTCCAGAGGCGGATATGCAATATAATTGGCCCTGTTCTGGCATCTCGTCTACAGTCACTTTCTCACAGACGCGCCGTCGCCTCTCTCTGTCTGTTTTATAAATACTTTCATGGCAATTGCTCCGAGGAGCTGCATTCGCTTCATGAGTTCAAACTCCCTACGAGGCTGGCAATCCGCTCTCACCCTTTCACTGTCGAAACTCCATTAATATAGACACCTCTTCTACTCCAATAGCTTCATGGATCGCACCTCTCGCCTGTGGAACTCCCTTCCCTATTCCGGTTTCCCTGAGAGCTATAATTTCCAACTATTCAAATGTAATGTCAATCGACATCTCCAGTTGCTTTGATCTATCCACTATCCTTCTCCTCATCCTTTCCTCCATCACTCCTATCTGATCTTGCTCGAAATCTTCTGTAACCCCTTGCGTCCTAGTGGCTTCTCGCCTTGCTTGGGGTGAAACGCTACAAAAAAAAATGTTCTAGCGAGACAAGCTTGTTAACCATTACACCACCTCGAGGTGCCCAAAACTGTTATGAAATATGTAAGCATTTCAACGTCCACTCTGACATTTACTGATTTACTGAGTGTCCCTAAAGTCTCCACATGTAGGACATCTATCTCATTAACTATATATATTTTTTTACCTCCACATATTAAACAACGTTTTTTCGAAAGAAGAAAAGACTTCTTTTTGTTTGGTATGCTGAAGCAGAAGGTGTACTTAATGAAAATTACAGGTGCAATGACACGTGATTTAAAGCATAAAGAATGAATTTGCTAACATTGTTGGCAATGTGGGGTTATTCCATCGAGTACACGTGAATCTTGCAAATAATGTAAATCATATCGATGATGTTATTTTGTTAATATTCCAATTCATTAAAAATTCTTGAAAATATGCATTCTTGCGTATGAGTCGAGACTTTAGGGACATCGTGGAGAACAAGGATTCTTTGGGTGACTAAGTTGTTTTTCTTATACACGTCGGCGGTCACCAAAATGTTGTGGAGGTGTTCACTCACATCATAGCAGCATAAATTAGACTATCGTTCACAGCAATAAAACATACTTAACAGAACATAAAACGTACACAAATAACAGAAAATAGCATGGTAAATTGTACGTTAATTTCATAAAATTTATTTATATTTTTGTGTGGTTATAATTGTTTTATAGTGCATGTGATAAAAGGAAGAATTTAATCCGTAGTATTACAAGGATTGCCAGTATATTTATGCAGCGTTACAAATTTTCGTAGACTTTTTTTGGAGTAAGTACATCGCTGATAGTGGCCGTAGGACAACTGAACGACAGTCGAGACAATAGCGTCTGGGCGTGATGAAAATCTGATGCAATCACGGATGACGCAATATTTTTCAAGGCGAAACAAATTTCATCACACATCCTGAAAATAGATTCATATTACTGCACACCACAACAAATGAACTAATCTGAGAGAAAAACAGAAATCGATTACCCGCTGTCACTCCTGTAGGTCTAAAATTGAGTGTAGGGTGAAAGAAAGTTGTTTGAATTAATTTGCACAAGGGTGTATGTTGTTGTACATTATGTTTTCATCAGCTTCTACAGTTCAGTGTAGTCAAAAGATCGACCTCAATATCAAATGATGTATTATTATTTTTTCTTTTTTTAGCTGTCATGGCCTTTTAATATATATCTATAATTGTAGACTTATTAAATTTCAGATATATAAAGATTGCTATGGGTCATAAAAAAGATATAATGTCAATAGTGATAACAGATACTGTAAAATTATTGAGCAATGGCATTGTAAGTTTAGAAACTGCGAAAAGTGATTACAGAAAAAACTAAGAAAATATATTGAAATCTTAGGTAAGGACAAGAAACAAAAAAACTGGTTTTTAGATCAGGAAAAAAGTTATGAGAAAATTTTTAAATAGTAATAAGAAAGAAAAGTGGATTGACCACAAAGAAAATATTTGACTTGCGAATGTAAACAGAGAATCTAGATGCAGAATATTGAAAAGTTGGCAAAAGCCCTAAAAGCAACCGACCCTATCATCGGAGTATAAAGTTCACCAAAGACAAATATGTGAGTTGGACAAAGAAATATATGAAAACCGAGTTATCAAAACTCGTTTTGTAATATTAAACTACTTCGCTATTTGTCGTTTCATTTTCGTATCTAAACTGTTTGGCCATTTAAAATAATACATTTAATACATATTCAGTGTGAATACACGAGTCATAAAAATGAGTTCAAAGAGCAAGCTTATACACTTTCCTGTTACACGGGGTTTGTTGTTAACTGGAAAAGGAAATCGCTCTCGTATCACAAATGACCATTTCAATTTTCATTAAAATTGTGTACGCACGTACATGTTAATATTGTATATATATATATATATATATATATATATATATATATATATATATATATATGAAAGATTTCTCATAGTTAACCTGTAGAAAAAAAACAATATTTATAAATGTAAAAAAAACAACAAGAAAACTGTAATAGTAGCCGGCGCTTTTCGTCCAATGTGGACTTTTCAAGGCAACCCCCCACCAAAAAAACAACACAAAAAAACAAAAAAAAACGACACGAATTTATTAAACAAAGTATCTAATAATAATAAAACAAAATTTTGGCATTCTTTAAATTCTTCTAGTTGCTAAGGACATTTTGTTTTGTTACTTGGTTTAATAAATTCATTTCGTTTTTTTTGCCTTGAAAAAGTCCACATTGGACGAAACGCAACGGCTACTTTATACAGTTTTCCTATTGTCTTATATATATATATATATATATATATATATATATATATTATATCTGAATATTATACATGTGTATATATATATATTTTATATTGTATTATTGTATCTATTTATATATATTATATTTTTTTTATTTTATATATGTATATATATTTTATATTTTAATATTATATATATATATATATATATTATATATATTATATATATATATATATATATATATATATACACACACATATTTTATATTTTATATCTTAATACTGTATATATGTATTTTATATCTTAATATTGTATATAGGCATATATATATTATATGTTAATATTGTATATATATATATATATATTGTATGTCTTAATACAATATCAGACATAAAGATATTTCTCGAAAATTATAAAAAAGCTTTAAAATAATTCTATTTCTATCGAATAATTATCAGTTTTATAACACCTTCTGCCGCCAGGGTCAGATCCTTGATCATGGTCACCAATTAAGGTAAGTCCTTTTAATAATCGCCTAAACCACGTGGTGTAACGACGTTTAGTAGTCCGTTCCTCAGGGTCTTAGGACGACGTTTTAACCACAGGGATAACTCCGTGCTGGTCAATGTTGACGGTGATCCAAGTTGGTTGTTGGTCGCTGGCCGTCTTGATCCACATCAGCTCTGCCCACACCGTGTTCTTGATCTTTGTTATGTAGTGGTTTCACAGTGAAGGCTTGTATTTGTACTAAGTCGGTCCTAAAATAGGTTCGACGTACAAAACGTTAGGAACTTGATATAATAGGTAATGACGCAGTAATCTACTTGGGGTGGCTGATATTTTAATATCCGACTAACAGTCATCCGACATCGACTGACTGACCAACTCACTGCCGACTGACTTGTTTCTCTTACTACTCCTACTTATTATAGTTGGAAGAGTCTATTAACTATAGAATAGGTGTGTTCCACGATAACAATGTCAAACCAGTGGAAGATCGAATGCCGTCGTATAGCAGCGATGGTTCAAGCCGTGGCGGGTGCTATTTTTTAAAGAAGGAAAATATCTTCTGGGCGAAAACATAAAACAAGTGATTCATGGGGTTAATCTTCAGTTGGTTTATATGGTTCTTTATACAACAAAAATTAGCTCACCCCGCACCAATCTCTATAGTTACACTGGACCGTGTCTAAACCTCTGGAGGAGTGGGTTCGAAGTCTTGGGATCCGGAATTTCGTGGCGGCTGACGTGGATTTCTGAAGGCAATTCGATACGGGTTCTCAGCTCAAGCCTCTGAGCTCGCCAAAGTTATATGGTTATACGCACTTCGGCCCCAAACTAGCGTGGGGCCGAAGAGTCCTGGGGGATTCAGTGATTCCTCAATTTTCATTAATCGCACGGAGGTTTTCTTTGTTCCCTATTTCTGCTTTTTTAATCAACTTTACAAATTTAGAGAATTATCCGCCTTTCTTTTGGGAGTAGTCACATGGATTGCTTCTCCCTTAACTCCACCTGTTGAACTTCACATCTCGCACCGCTACTCCGCACAGTCGAGGCTAAATTCTGCCCCTACTTCCTTCCTTCTCGGTATTTTAACTCTGCCAACTTGCTGGCATACCTGTCATTGTGACAAATTTCAGTTTTTAAAGTGCGAGAAGTAGAAAAGAAGGGGTTTATACTATTCATTAATTTAATTCTATGATTACTTTCCTGGATTGACATGTTCAGAGAAAACACTAACCAGATAACCTTCTCATTTTAACCTTCCGAACGATAGATGAAAATTATTTCCCAATTTGTTTTCGTCAATGAAAACATATTAGTTTACCTAAATTCTCAAAAAAGAGACACGCTTTTTTCCATTCCTGGGCCGGTCGCCGTCTTAGCGAAAACATAAACCAGATCACCTACTTTTTATGACA